TTTTTTTTATAATTATTAAGTAAGGTTAAGAAAGAGCAGTTCATACTTCTGTTTTGTTTTAACATAGATATAGCAATGTTTTTAACAGCCATTTACAAATGCAAATCCGAATTATTTTTGTTATATTATAACTAATAATCATAAATCTGTTGTTCATAAATGTGAGAGCTGGAGAAATAAAGATACCTGTAAAAACTGACTTAAGCATWTTTATATCAAAACAAATACAACTAGTTTAAATAATTTAAAAATATTACTACTAYTACTGGTCACCCTGTCCATCCTGGTTACTCTTAGCTTGCGACAAAAACGCCAAATGCCCTTTAGGACACCTATTAGCGTAATGGCCCTTTGTACCACACTTGTAACACGTAACATCTTCAAGCTTCTTGGGYAACATCTTCTGTAGATAAGAATTCTGAGGCTCATAGTGTTCATTATGTTTTTTGTTTTCATCATTTTGGGCGTCTCTATTATCACTATTCATCTTATTACAATGTATCGCTTTGTGTCCATGTTCATTACAGAAGTGACAAATAATAACAGGAGTGGCTTTCTTGTCTTTCTGCACTTGATCAGGGGGCGCAGGTAACTCAAACCTGGGATGCATGTATTTACAGTTGGGCCCTTCGGGGCAAAAACCAGCCAAGTAATTCGTACACAGGACYCTYCTCACGTGTCTGTGCCGACAATGGGGGCCATGTCGRCAAAATCCGCGGTCGTACCAAGGACAATCCTTGATTTTACTCTCAGGGTCAATGTGYAAAAAGGGGCACTCCTTATTGTGACATGCGTTAAATCTCGAGTAGAAGTAACACTCAGGCATTTTTGTCATGTCATACTCGTGTAAAAACTCACACTGATCACCCTTCTTACAAAGACCTCTAAGCCAGTGTTTACAAACGATGGTTCGGTCGCCGCGAACGTGGCGGAAGGGGCATTGGGGGCCCTTCTGACAACCTTGGATTGAGGTGTAAAACTGACATACGGCCGCAATTGATTCTGAAAAGTAGGAAAGGAAAATTGTGTTTTTGACATAACCTCACTTACTGTCCATTCCGGGAAATGGCAAAGGCAAAGCGCCAAATTGCTCGTCAAGGGCCACTTCAATGTCGAATTTTATGTGATCTACGTTAGCCACAATGCACTCCATTTTAATAATTCTTATTTATCTCTTAAGAACAAAACTTTTACTTCAACCCCTTCTTAACCTAACCAATTCTTTTTTGACACTTGACAATACCAAGCGCTGCCAACTGAACTGATC